TTTGAGTCGGACGGAAGAGTGAAATACAGCTCGCTAACTAGTCATCATAATTCTAAAACAATTTACAAAACGCTAAACAAGTAAACATTTACCACAACTCTGAATGAAAATACATGAATAACTCACCTATAACATCTAAATGTATAGTTTGGTTTCGAGCACGACAGTCTCGATCGTTCCAGACAAGGCAATAATGACGCGAAGCTTCGGAGAAAATAAACAGGAAGTTTCGCGGCAACAAACATCTTTATTCCAAGAAAACGCATAATAGAAATAAGTTTACAAGGGCCTTTAGGCTAGTTGATATTTGTAATATGGCTATAACGCACTTAACCATGCCACACGCCCACGAGACTGTGACTCTCTCGCATGTTTAATTAATTATACGTAATATAATAAACCTAGGGAGACTCTTACCAGCGCGTCGTATTACGACAGGAATATGATTAGCGAACGTAGTTTACACGCCCTCTTGCCTAACTGCTCTGTCCTGTCACTGGTTCACAGCACAGTCCCTCTAACGTACTATGTCTGGCGCCCGTCTGGCGGGGATGATGAATAGCAATGTAATGATAATATTTATTGATATCGTATCCCCGGAGCGTATATGTAAATAATTGAAATATAAATATTTTATTTCATCAATTACAGCTACCCCGATGCAGCTACAATCTGCCAGATATGTTTACCCTGAATCTATTTGGACAGCAAATAAGATCAATATATGTACCGAGAACCCATTTCAATGGAACGAACCTATATACTAGTAGTATCCTGGGGTCAATACCGTTACACTGTTGTGGGTGTGAACACAAAGTGGACGTACGAGAGTGATCGTGCGATAACACGTTCTATGTTCCAGGTCAAACGACTGTCGACACAGTACGTGCTGTCTCAGTACTCCGACCCGTATGCTAATGCTAACCCATGGGAGGTTAAACTCAATCTCCTTCACACAGTGCTTTACGCTTTACGCAATAGTACCTGTCACAGGCGGCCTTCAATTTTGTAGTAAATCACCCCCCCCCCCCCAATTACGGTCATTTTTCCGTAGTTGTTACACCGAAAAATGTAATACACAAAGTGGCAACAAATGTACGTGACAGCCGAACTATTTATTAATGTCAGACTTCAGTAAAAACGTAAACATGAACAATTTTATCACGGTCTATGTTTTGCAAGGTAATGTTATTGTAGTGAAATGGCGCCAATGACGGCTGAATTTCTAATATTTTTTGGAATTTCGCATTTTGGTTTTTGAGGTAATTTCACTTAATCAATTGGCAGTAAGTAATCAAAATTTAGATTTCAGCTGTGATTCTCGAAGTTATGCCTTTAGTGGCGACAATTTACAATAATACGGCGAAAATCTAATTTTCGTTTATTGAAGCGCAAGGGGATCCTTTTAGGTTATTTGCAAATTTTCAGTCGACGGCGAGCCCAACGACGAATGTTAACAGATCAAAAACAAGCGCAAACTACAATGTTACCAGCCAGTTATGTTCCCATGCAATGTCCTAAAAAACGCGCATGATTTGACGTCAGTTCCAAAATAAACTATCACTCACCGCTTTCAAGCACTGAACGCTCAGACTACTTACTACTTTTCAGCCGAAATGTCACCCCTGCTGCGCAACTGCCAGGCCTGGTGAATCGCTTGGCTGTCGCGCAAAAAATATGAGCAAACTATGCCCTCCTACGACACGAAGTTACGCCCATTGATTCGATATGAAATGAAACATTGATTCGGAAACCGTCAACTGAGCGAGTACCATGCATTGACCACGTATTCCAGGTAAAGTAATATCACGTTTATCTAAAAATTTGATCCGTGACCCCATTTTTTACACATAAATTGCAATTAGCAATAAATTGCAATTGCATTTCCTTTGTCATTAGCGCCAGTTTTGTAACGGTCGGCGCCGAAATGTGAACACTGAAAGCTGGCTTATACCACAGTCCCTCAATAGGGATTGTGCATATAAGCAATATACTGTAAAGGGGTTAATTATTCACTGGGTTTTAATTTGGCTTATTTCGCTGACTGGAAAATGCGCTAAATTAAAACCCAGTGAATATGTAAAATTTACCATAGAACACATTATCTAAATGATCAAACCGTGAATTTAAAACCCACTGAATATGCCTGAAATGGTAAATCAGTGAAATTTAAACCCAGTGAAAATTAGTCATTTTACAGTACTAGCCTGACATGTAGGCGTGGGTGGCGCCCTCGCTGGCCGAACGGCATCAGACCCTTCTAACGCCTGACAGATTAGTGTATGTATCGTCGGCAAGATCAAAACTGCGAATTCGCAAAGTTCACGCTCTCTTGCAATGAGTTTCAATGAATATTTAATTTGGTGGTCATAGTAACACCTTGTCAGACTCAGGCTGTCTTTTCTTTTCATAACCAGGGAGACAAAGCCGGCACCATATCACGCAACAAAAATATGTAGATTTCCTCTAGTAAAATACCTCAAAGGTTAAACTAAATCCCTTGACAGAAATCTGGGTTTGTTATTTCTTCGTTATAGTTTATTTGTTCAACCATTTCTCGCGATTTTTGCAACCTCAATTAACGACTAAGCCTCCATCTTGAAAACTACGTGTCTTCAATATATCAAAAGAACCACGTGTTATTATTATGAGTAATAAATGATTGAACAGTTAAAATATAAAGATAAAACATGAATTTATTTAATACCTAGAATAGTTCCTTTTTCAATTTCGTCACGTGATCGATTTCAAAGAAATGGCTACTACTCGACCTTTAGTCTTGACATCGCATTTTATTGTTGTTTTTTTGTGTTATTAGGCTTGTATAGGATTATTTGGGTCATCTTTATGCGGTTATAAATTGAAAAAAAAATAAATGTTCAAAGTCACAGCAATTGCCAATTTGTTATACTCACTTGTGTATGTGTTGGGTGAGCACATAGACATGTTGAAAATTATTGTCAAACGTTATATCAGGTAGAGCAGTGGAAGAGCGCATGTGGTGGATGTGAGGATACTCTACATCATCAAAACTTAGTGCCAGCAGAATAAAAACTAGCACTCAACACAGATTAACCAGTCATGTTCCTAATCTGACAATGATCACTGCCACATGTAACCAGACTAGTTAATTGATAATATCTTATTGTAGTTATCAGTTCCATCATCAGGTTTAGTTGTTATATTATAGATGAGTTGTAAATCTGTATCCAGTCTATAGATGTAATCAACACAACCAATGTATACGTCACCAGGCATGTCATCCAAAGCCATGTGATTGAATTCAAAGGAATCATGGATAAGAACATTAGCAATAGTAGATTCAGTGAATATCACATAAAGGTAACTGAATACCAATACCAAGTCGTGCCATCGTTAGTTGTTGATACTAACAAAACTTTTAACAACAAGTAATATTAAATCTATTCACTTCGTTATTAGCAATACTCAATACTAGATGGCAATAATATTTATTCTCATGATGGACTCCAAATTTATCTTCGTTTTCTCAACATTAATCATATCAGTAACCATTTGCAAGAACCCATTTAAACAATAACACCGAGTTATTCTAATGATTATTCTACTGTAATGTAAAAGTAGAGGTTACAAATTTGGCATCCATTCAATTATAATGATATCGTGAGAAGTGCACTCAAAGTATATTATACAGCATAGCTAAGAAATACGTGTTTTATGATTGCCAAGGACTCGGAGATCTATTCATCTGTTGTAATAAATACGAGTACGGTTATCATACTGTATGTTTTCATACATTTTATTTTGTATATGAGAGTATGATGCCAAGTAGGCTTGGTGTTTGAGGCACGGGGTCTGGAAAACATTTTCCATTTTCAGTCTTCATTTAGTAGAAACAAATCCTTGCAGAAATCAACAAAGAACTTTCGTTATCAACTAGTAGTGGTGGTTCACTGAAAAAAAACTAGTAGTTCTAAACCAAAAAAATCCTCTCTCAAAAAATTGATATTTCTAAAATGTGGCCTTCCTAATTAGCAAGCTTAAAAATTTGATCTCCGCCAACGCAAACAAATTCAGAAATTCCAAATACAGGCTACTTTGATATATTGGGCCATTTTAATTTTTATGTAAACGAACAAAGCTTCTTGAGACCCATCTGGGCTCTATGTGTATACATTCACTTCATCCATCGTACTGGCAAGATTGAGATTCACTAAACTATACTATACGTTTACAAAGACATAATGATATATAGATAATTCCAATTTCCATCTTGTATTTTACCCTTGTTTTTTAGGCAGGAAAGGTTTTAAAATACATTAATTGACAAACGGTGTGTCCCTAAAAGTAAGAAATGTACATAGCAGCAGTGTTCCCCAGCATGTCAGCTACAAACCATCATTGCTGCTTGAATCTATATTTTGATTTCCCCCTGAATCGAATGTGTTGCTGGTCATTTTAGCCTTAACCCCGATCACAGGCTGGTTGTCTCTTGTATTGTTTGAGTCTTTTTGAAATCATTGTGGTTTGTTTTAGCGGACAAAACAATGCATTTAACTTATTTTTTTCTGAACACAGCAATTATATCTAGTGTTATTTCTTTTTAAAATATCAGTTCATTTCAAGACAAAATTTTCAATTTTATATATTCATTGCGAATATTTTTGTTCGAGTATAAGTATCGAGTATTTTTGACAAATAGTGTTTAAAATCATTATTTTGCTTCGATCATCGTAAAAGCCTCTTATCTTGACCACCATGTTTCATTTTATTAAACACTAACGATAAAACGGCAAAAAAACACAACAAAATGGAACACGTTATCTCAATGTAAATCAGAATTAGTTTCTTTAAGTTTTTCAGACAACGATCATTTTTTTAGGATTGTTACTCGACACTGTCAGGGAAGACAAAACAAACATTTCTATGCTTGTCCTGATTTTAACTATTTGAGTCATTTTATTTCTTTCGAAATTTACGTTACTGTAAATAACTTCGGTTCATATTCCATGAAGGAATAACCAGTCAAATAACGAATGTGAAGTTATTGTCAATTTTGAAAATATTCCTTCTGTAATTTGATGTATTCAAAGTATTCAGTTGAAATTCATAAATTACCATCATAATATTTTAGTGTACTCCCGATGTTTATCGATTTATTGAAAAAAAAGTGTATTGACATTGCGAGCACGGTTCAAATATTTTGTTTAATGACCAACCCAGTTTTGATTCAGGACAAATGCAATGCCTTCTACTTAAACCAACTTAGATACGCATGAGTATTGACAATTAATCGCTCAAGCCAATGTCAGTGAACGGAGATGAATACCCACTTAGTAAACACTATTGTCCCTCTTCAATTCATGGCGTATGAATCCCTACGTATAAAACAGGCACACCGATTGTTAGAATACAAATATCTTATCATCATATCGAAATGAAACGATTCAGGCACGTTAAATAGTACGCTGACATGCCGTCCATGATATTTTGATTACCCCCTTATTACCGTTGTCACAGCAATCGCCCACGCTCCCGTAATGCCGAACTCATTGTATTCTTGGCGGTTGCATGTTCGTTCTCTATTTAAACAGAGATTTCTCTAAAGATTGCAATGCGTCATAATCCGTATAGACTGCAATGATTGTGCTAGCTTATTTATTTTTATGATGACTTTAAAACCTCTGCAAATACGCCGCTGTCTAACAAATACACATATGGGAGAGTATAGCACATTAACGTTAATCCCATGCCCTGCAATGCTGAATTTATTCTATTCATAACGGTACAATGTTTAATACTGACTTTCACAGAGCTTTCTAAAAAGACAAGCCGTATAAAGTAAAATAACTAGTACGACCTAAAAACATTTGCTAATATACAGCGACTAGACAACGTTAGTTATATATGATAAACGAAAAATAATATGGAATAACACGCATCCTCTTTCACCCCACACTGAGGCGACTATATCACGATATGTTTTGCAGTTTCACGACGTTCATTCACGAGCGGTACGTATATGAATACCCCAGGCG